CACTTAAAAGTCATGGCTAATACTCTGAGAGAGGGCTTGTGATATCACTGCATCGATGTTGTGTAACACCCATGTGAGTTGTGTATAAATGTCACGTGTTACGATTTGCTTGACTGCAACTCTCCTTCTGTCTCTCCCCCTTCTCCCCTCCTCGCAGCTCGATTAAAGCCGGCGGCGGATGAGAGGGATGGAAGGCGTCGTTGCCTCCACTCTGAGCTCGCGTCGCCACCGCTGTTATTTTGGGTTTTAAATAAACGATGTGAGATGAGGAGCAGCTTCCCGAGTGTCGTGTGCGGCTGTGTCTCGGGTGATGTGTGACGATGCTTCACCTCGTTGGGAGGCGTGGGACCCCGGCCATGGCGAGCGAGGGAATATATACCGTGTTTCGCATCTCCCCCCCCCCCCTTGCTTGTTTGACGACCTTCAGCTTGGTGGTGAACTGCTGTGATTCAAGGATTGGTGGATCGTGCAGAGATGTGGAACTCCCAAACCTGGGCCTTGTGACCAAAGGAAGGCAGTCTAGCATATGGGTTTGTCAACTCATCTATATCGCGGACCATTAAGTGTTATCCCCTCGTATGTGATCGGGTATGTTTTCTCTTATCTGGTTTCCTTCAAATAAAACAATTCTTAAAATAATTAATTGGCCAAAAATTCCGATGGGAGGAGCCTCCAGAAAAAGTTATAGCCACTTCAGGTGCTGCAATGTCCCACTTTTAATGAAAAATATACCATACATAGAGGATAGCACTTTAACACAGATGCACACAGGGAGGTTCAGCACCACAGTTGTACTGTCATCTGCTTGGCCTTCTCATAGGCCAGTGGTGGATTTAGGAGTTTCATAAATCTTTACGTGATCCACCAACTCTTCTCTCAAGCACTGGATCGCGGGTATGGGCTTCCACATGCCACTGCAGTATCTGCAATGTATGTGTATTGAACTTTCGCACCATACGTAGCTAACTTTGCTAAATCGGAAGTGTGGGAAGAATTGTATTCGCGTGGAGTGGCCCGGGGTTGTGGAGATGCCTTCAAGATCATTCACCCTCGTGTCTCCGCAGCCTTGCACACATCACGCGCACGAGTTGAGCATCGCACGTTTGTATCAACTTCATGCAGACTAAATGCCCACCATTGGATAGGTTATTTCATTTGCTTGTCGACTTGTACAGCCATCTGTTCCACCTTGCAGCCCAGCATATAGCGCTCGCCGTTCCCTGGCAGACTCCCATTGCAGGCACTCGCCTTGCTTGACTTTATCTCCAAGTGTTGGATACGATCGTTACGCTGAATTGGCTACTACAGGGGTGAGAAACCGATGACCGGTGACTTAATTTCACGCAGCCTGCAACACGCAGGTATAGGAGGCCGACCACTTCAAAACTCCCCACATTTCTCCACGAGTGCAATTGGGTCCTGGAGGGAAAAAATATTTTCAACGACCTTGCAACAGAACACTTAATTTTCACACGCTCAAGTATTTTCTGTCAATTGCTGCAAGGGCCTTTTGTAATGACAAGTCATTGGTGGTCTTGTGAATGTGTAGTTGCCTGCCCGAAGGTATTTAAAATCCCATTCGGTTCTCCAAGAGGGAAAAAGGCTCCGAAACTTGGCAAGACCCTCTTGACAAAAGAGTTGTCGAGGTTTTCCAGGAAAATTATGGGAGTTTATGAAAAAAAATTTTGATAAAAAACTATGCCGATTTGGTCTAAAACATACCGATAAAAAAATTCTGTACACCTGAAATGGGAACACTGATAAAACAACTTTAAAGTGTGCAAAGAAGTATGAAGAAATGCATGCTTGAGGTTACATTTCATGTGGAGAAAGGACAAATGGATTTGAAGATGCACTGGTGAAAGACGTCCTTGACGAACGAAAGGGGGCTTGGACAACACATGGCTGTTAGGCCGGTGGACAACTGGCGACCGAGCCGAATGATGACATGCCTGAGAGGTCACGCTGAGATGGAGTGTTGATACAAAGCTCGGTGTGCAAGAGTGACATGGATTGTTGCTTCCATCACAAGACCGTGAGTGATGGTGGCTAAGGAGGCCTTCATCCGGCAGTGGGTAGATCAAGGCCGATTTGTGTGGCGTCACTTGCACGATACAGCAGTGACTGAGCGGGTGGGTTCAGGGTTCTGTGGCGTCATGGCTTGGTATGATCAAGGTTGGGATGTGTTTACTTGGGATGGGTTGAATCTGGTGTGGATCAAATAATTTAACCACGTAGGCTTCCGTGACCGGTAGGATAATACGTGTTGGTTTAGCGCAAATGTAATTTCACAACTAGCAATACGGCAATCGTTGCCCCTTACTGGTGGACGTGCTTCCTCGGAAGCGAAGTGCCCAGTCCTGTGCAGCACAGCGACAGCTACCACTGGTGGTGGGGGCTGGCGAGGCTGCCCATTTAAATAAAATGTCTATCGCTTGTCGAAGTGCGCTCGAGTTTAGTTCTGGTCACGTGGGATTATGCCAGGTGGTGTCAGGGATCAGAATTTGTCAAGTGGGGGTCAGGTCAACAGGTCAGGTTAGGTTCGCTGGGGTGAGGTGGTCAGGTTAGGTCGGCTATGATGAGGTCATGGTCAGGATTAGGTTCGCTGGGGTGAGGTGGTCAGGTTAGGTTCGCTATGGTGAGGTCAGGGTTGGGTCACGGAGGTCGGCTGCGGTGAGGTCAGGGTTAGGTCAGCTGCGGTGAGGTCAGGGTTAGGTCAGCTGCGGTGAGGTCATGGTCAGGGTGAGGTCACGGTCAGGGTGAGGTCAGCTGCGGTGAGGTCAGGGTTGGGTCAGGTGAGGTCAGGGTGAGGTCAGCTGCGGTGAGGTCAGGGTTGGGTAAGCTGCGGTGAGGTCACGGTCAGGGTGAGGTCAGCTGCGTTGAGGTCACGGTCAGGGTGAGGTCAGCTGCGTTGAGGTCTGATGAGGTTGAGGGCGCCTGGGCTCCACGTGTTGCCGGACTCTGGCTTTGAGGCTCGCTGGGTGGTGAGTGGAGGACCCGACCGGTCGCGTCATGTTAGCGCGGGGGCGTGTGAGTGAGGCACGTGTTCCCCACCTGGGTCTTCTCTGCGAGTGCGCTGCTGCTGCTACTACTACTGCTGCTACTGCTGCTGATGCTGCTATTACTGCTGCTGCTGCTGTGCGTGCACGTGAGCTCTGCCTTCAATTGAACACGCTGCATGTGTGAGTAAGCTGTGCGCGCTGTGTGTCCTATATGGCTGACCGTGAACCCATCCGCTGTATGAGTGCTATATGGGCTGTATGTTGTCTATAAAGTTGTGCATTTTGATGAGTGTATTCGTTGGCTATATGTGCTATGTATGAGCGTGCTATCTGCTATGTATGAGAGTGCTGTGCTGTTTGCTATGACTGTGCGGCTGCCATGTCTGCGATGCTTTTTTATGAATGTGCTACACTGAGTATGCTGTCTGCTGTGCTATGTATGAGTGCTATGATGCGCTGTTAATGAGTATGCTATGTATGAGTGTGATGTGCACTATGTATGCATGAATATAATACTGGTAGGAACCTGGTTACACCAGCCCACAGGGGATTATTGTGTCCGTCCGTCGTGCAGGGAGGGGCTGGGTGGGGAGTGTGGGGAGGGGTGGGGCTGGGTGGGGTGGGGCTGGGTGGGGAGTGTGGGGAGGGGTGGGGCTGGGTGGGAGGGGTGGGGCTGGGTGGGGAGGGGCTGGTCACCCCGTGGTGCCCTTATAAAACTCAACGTTTAACCTACTCACGCCGGCTTGTGCCCGCCCTCACAGTCGGGCATATTTGCGGAATACACCACGCCGCCGTTGACCCTGCAGGCCATTGACCGAGCAACCCAACGTTCCTACCAGCTCCCTCCGCAGGAATGTGTTACGTCAGCTATGTGCATGCTATGAATGAGTGTGCTGTCTGGATGCTACGCGTGGATGCCATATGGGTTGCTGCGGAAAAGTAGACATTGTATGGGAGCAGCAAGTTACAAGTGTATGCTACGAGTATGCTATGCTATGTGTGTGTATGCTGTGAATATGCTATGTGTGTGTGTGCTATGTATGCTATGCGTGTGTGTATGCTGTGTGTATGCTATGTGTGTGTATGCTGTGTGTATGCTGTGTGTATGCTATGTGTGTGTATGCTGTGTGTATGCTATGTGTGTGTATGCTGTGTGTATACTGTGTGTATGCTATGTGTGTGCTGTATGCTATGCTGTGTGTATGATGTGTATGTGCTGTGCTCCGGGTGTGCTGTGGGTGCGAGGTGCATGCTCGCTCGGCGGGCCGTGCTCCCGTGATGCCCCGCGCGCACTAGACATGGCGCCGTGCTGCCCGTACGCGGGGGGAGGCGCTCGCCTCTAGGCCTCGCGGCGCGGGGACGCGGGATCCCTGATCCCCCTCACCCCCTGAGCCCCCTGAGCCCCTCATCCCCTTACTCCTCACCCCCTCAGCCCCTCAAACCGGTTCTCCCGCTCGCTGTACTCTCTCCGATCCCCCCTCGTCAGCCGACTCCTCACCCCCGACTCACTCCTCGTCCCCTACTTCTTTCATCCACTGAGCTCCCCCCGTCCTCCTGCCCCCTCTGATCCCCTGATCCCAACCACCCTCACTACTCCATCTCCTCTCGCCGCCTGGTCCCCTCTCACTCCCTGTCACTGCTCACCACCCACCCCCCGTTCTCTTTTCCCTTCTCCCGCCCTTTACCCCCCCTACCCGGTCTCCTCCTTGATCCCTCTGCTTCTTCCTGCTCCCCATTCCACTCCCCTCGATTCCTTTAACGCAGCGACCCTCTCATAGACTGCTTGGGCTCATCTCTCTGCCCCCCAGCCCCCCACTTTACTCCCTGAGACCCCATCCCCCTCTGCCCCCCCACCACTCCCTGAGACCCCCCCCTCTGCCCCCCCACCACCATCCCCCTCTGCCCCCCCCCCACTCCTCTGCACCCCCCCCCCCACTCCTCTGCCCCCCCCCCCCACTCCTCTGCCCCCCCCCCCCCACCACTCTCTGACCCCCTCCCTGATCTCCGGCCACGCCGTCACCAGCTGAAGGCCCCCCCCCACTCGGTCTCCCTCCTGCGTCGCCTGTGGGGCCTGCCGACTTCGCTCGCGTGAGTGCGGCATCAGCGGTGCGGTGTGGGGGGGGGGGGGGGGTCGGGGATTCGGCCTTCGGTTGTGCGGCGGGAGAGGCAACTATCAGGGGAGTGGAGATCAGGGATCAGAGTAGGGGGGTCAGGGATCAGAGTAGGGGGGTCCTGTGTCCGGGTATCAGGGATCGGAGTAGGGGGATCAGGGATCAGAGTAGGGGGGTCCTGTGTCCGGGTATCAGGGATCGGAGTAGGGGGGTCAGGGATCAGAGTAGGGGGGTCCTGTGTTCGGGTATCAGGGATCGGAGTAGGGGGATCAGGGATCAGAGTAGGGGGGTCCTGTGTCCGGGGATCAGGGGTCGGAGTAGGGGGATCAGGGATCAGAGTAGGGGGGTCCTGTGTCCGGGGATCAGGGGTCGGAGTAGGAGGGGTCAATGATCCCAGTGGGGATCAGAGGCCCAGGGACTCTGTTATCAGGGACCGGCGATCATTGACCGGGGTGTAACCAGGACTGGGACAGCTTCTAACTCGTACCCACAGTCCATGGCGATGTGCTGCTGCGCTAGATGATGTGTGCCTGTTATAATGTATCGCTGTATTTAGGGTCGTTGTGATACTACTACAGTGGGGTGGGCTGGTGGATAGTACTGTAGCAGCCATAGCCGAGCTTGCTACTGCGTGTGAGCTGGGCGAGGAGATGTTCATTTTCTTGTCTCCAACCCCGGCTGGAATGATTCTCCGGGGTGAACCCATTTGGGATCCCAATCGGGAGGGGAGAGTTTATAGTATCATGGTCACTGAGCGTGGATGACGGAGATCATAAAGACGGGGCGTGAGGGAGTCCGGGTTTGGGTTGGTGGGCAAAGTTCCCCCGAAACCGATGGGTAATGAACATAGGGACCGATGCGGGTTTGAGGGATCCATCAGCGAAGTATTTTGAGAGAAGCCACAATCCCAGGATCGGGGTTGAGGTATTGGGTTGTCCGGCCAAGGAACTTTGCGGTCCATTTAATGTAATTGTAGTGCCCTAGACATTGTATATAATACACGTGGCCAACCCACCTTACAACGCTTGCCAGCATGAGGGTGAACCTAGCCTGGTACAGAAACTTCACCACTTGGCGCCGAACGGATGCTGGTTATTGCTGCTGCTGTGGTGTGTGTGTGGTTGTGTGTTTTAGTGTGAGGTGCACCTAACCTGGCACAATCGCCGTGGTGACATCACCGACACTTCGTGGCTAACAGCGGCTGGTGTGACGTGTTGGTGTGAGGCGTGGCGTGTCCGGAGTGGTGTATTGTGCGTGGTTTTTTACGAGTTGTGTGTCTCTGTGGTGCTGTCAGGTGTCGTGTATTTCACCAAGTTAATTGACAATCTTTCCATACCTATCTACCTATACTCGTGGAATTTTTCATCTGGGTACAGATACATTGGGAGGCTGCTGCTGCTGCTGCTCAGGTGAGCGTCTAGGGATGGCTCCCTATCGTTAAACAATTTTATTGTCCACTGCTGACCTGGTTAATTACTGCCCATTCTGAGGAGTTGGAGACTGCTTCTAAACTCCGTATTTTGGCAGAAAGAGGTGATGGGGGGGGGGGGGGTCTTTACCGTCAGCTGCACCAAAATGGCAGCCTAGAAACTCTGTGTCATCCACACTCCCCACCCCCTCGTCCCTCCGTGAGTAACGGTGGGGTTTTTACGGAGGGTTGACGACTTCCCGTATGTGGGCAGCGTGTTCGTGACCAGTTCCATTGCGGCAGGAGGGGGAGGTCTCGCTCAGAATTCGTCGAGCAGCAGTCCATTGGCCGCGTAAATCTGCCTTGGCCTGTTTCCTCCCCACGAAGCTCCGGCTGGATCTGTTCAGTCACAATCACACAACCCCCTCTTCTCTGTGCCTGCACAAACGCCTACAACCCACCTTGCAACATGCAAACGGCCCTGCATAGATCCGTCCTGGATGTATCCATATGGGATATTTCAGATCCCTGAGAGATCTGGACCTAGTCCCAGAATTGACCTCCGCGACAAGCGAGACTGCATGGGCTGGGTCATGTAGCCCGCATGCCCAGCCACCGCATTCCAAAAGAGCTTCCGCTTTGGCCGGATAGAGGGGGCTAAACGGTTGCTGTATGGGCTATGGAGGAGATGGGCGAATGTGGTACAAGAAAATGTTGAGCTTGATTGGACTTGCGAATCACTGGTTCCAGTGGTGTCAGCCTCTGTGGAGGAGGCCCGTGAAAGTCGCTTCTGCGCAGTTGAAAAATACTGCTGGGCAGTTGGGAGGCAAATTTGGAGGGGGGTAAAGGAGTGACCCCCTCACCAACGAGCATAGCGATGGGTGACTAAAATACAGTAAGGTGGCACGGTAGGGAGCGTAGGTGGTACAATGGCCCGATCATTCAAATCATATAACCTGTAACACCTGGATCTACCCCTGTACCTCCTAACAACGAGCCTTTGATACTTTACGTGGCCTCAAAGTGCACCGAGTTTGGCACAAGCGCCATGACATCACCACCACATCGTGGCAAATGGCAGCTAATTTGGTTGTCGGTAGTCTCTAGTGCCACCGCCATTATTAGTATTATGCACAATGTCTATATCCTGTACAGCGTGTGTATTGGGTGTGCATGGAATTTACGCTGCGTGTCTCCGTGTGTGCTGTGAACGCCGCTCAGCCCCTCAGCTCGACGCCGCGCGGCATCCCTCGGGCCACGCGCACGCCCCCCCCCCACGGCACCGGCAGCTGCGATGGCATCGGTGATGTCCGGCGCCGTCGACTGGCTGCTCCTACCCTTCGACCTGTACGTGGAGATCTTCCAGTACCTGACGGCGGGCGAGCGGGCGAGCGCTCGCGTCGCCTGCCGGGCGTTCCGCGCGCTCCTCGACCACCCGTGCCTGTGGCACGACCGCACGGTGCGCCTGCGCGAGCTGCACCGCTACGACGCTCGCACGTGGCGCACGCTCCAGGGCCGGCGCGTCAGCCGCGTCGAGCTGGCGCGCGCCGCCGCCAAGGACCTGCGCCGCCTGGCCGAGGGCCTGCCCGACGTCACGGCCGTGCGGCTCACGGGCTCGCCCCGCGCCGGCGCGCTGGCGCCGCTGGCCGCGCTGGCGAGGCTGCGCGACGTGTGGCTCGACGACTGCACGCGGCTGTCGGGCGCCGAGCTGCTGCGCGACGTGGCGCCCTTCACGGGCCGGCTGACGCACCTCACGCTGGGGAACCTCACGAGCTTCGGCGACGACGACCTACGCCAGCTGGCGCGGCTGCAGAACCTGGAGGCGCTTTCGCTGCGTCGCTGTCTCAAGAGCTCCGGCGGGTTCAGCATCTCGGGCCCTGCGCTACAGTACGTGCTGTTCCGGCTGCCCAAGCTGCGCTCGCTGGCGCTGTACGCAGCCGGGCTATCGAGCGACGGGCTCTCCCTCGCCTTCACGCCGCCCTGCCAGGACCCAGGTAGGGGGCCCGTACGGCCATTTTGCTCTCTGGGGGGGGGTGGAGTCGGTGGGGATGCAGAGGGAGAGGGTGGAGGTGGCTCGGCGGGGCACAGAAAATGCCAGCACTGAAGAGCGAATGGAGAGTGAAATGCTATGAGCTGGCGCGGCATCCCTCGGGCGACGAGCTACCATGTGGTTGACTGGTGTGGTTCAGGTCAGTGGGAATGCTGAGTGACTAACTGGTTGGTGGGTTGACTGGAGGTGGTGGTAGTAGGGTGAGTATGTGTGGCTGCCTGGTTGGCGCAAGGGCTTGAGTTGGTTGACTTCTGAGCTCGGTCACAGCTCATAACTTTCCCGGTTTTGGATTTTCATTCCTGGAGTGGTGGTGCAGTCGTTAGCGCACTGCTCTACAAACCCGGCAACCCGAGTTCGAATCCCCCTCACGGCTAACATCGGTGACGAATATTTGAACTGGTCCTGGGCCTCCCCGAGATCGACTGCTTTAAGACGAGCAGCTAATGCGTCATGTAAACATCAGCACTGGACAGAAAAGGCGGCCGGGTGTGGCGCTGGCCACCTGCGATATTAATAGGTGCTCGTTATCAGCACTTGCCCCAACAGTCTGTTGAGGCTACACGGGAGGTCTGTTCACACCACCGGGGGTTCAGGACATCAAGACCAGAAAATACAGCCGGATTTTAGCCACGACTATCGCTGGGTTTACACACGGGTAGCGGGATAAATTGTTTTGGAGGCAAGGGTTTGTGAAACTCCCAATCCCACAAGTCTCCGACTTGACCAGGAGATGGCAATACAGCAAGCGGGTTCGTGAACTCGTCTGTATCGTGAACCTTTGAGTGTGATCCCCTCGTATGCATGGTGGGTTGTCTCTGGCTACTCTGGTTTCTTCCCATACGAAACAAAACGCTCGTTATTCAAACGTTGTAATGGAGAAGAGAGTTATCATAGTAGGTTTTTACCCTTTAAACTGGTACAAAACTGACACCTTTATACAAGGCATCATGTTTGCAATAACCACAGCACAAGCAGTCAAATGCAAACAAAAAGAAAGAACTTTGATAATGATAATATGCACTGTCCTTGAAGTTGATTGGTCCACACTCGTAGTGTAAATGCTTACCCCGAGCTCTCAATACTCTGATAGTGCGCTGTTTTTGAGTTGTACGCCTTTTGGCGTCATCTGGTCCAACACCAATGGAGACTAGGCTCTAAGGAAAGCTGTCTCGGGTGTGGACCAATCAACTTCAAGGACAGTGCATATCATTATCATCATCAGAGTTGTTTCTTTTTGTTTGCATTTGACTGCTTGTGTTGTGTTTATTGCAAACATGATGCCTTGTATAAAGGTGTCAGTTTTGTACCAGTTTAAAGGGTAAAAACCTACTACTATATTTTGCCACTGGTAAAGGAGGTCTCATAGTGTAAATGAGAAGAGAGTTTGCCTAAAAAACTATGAATACCAGCATTCATGTAAATGAGTGTCTAAAAGGCTGGTAAATGCCATGTTTTGAGTTGGAAACCGGCCACGTGGCTCCTCTGCAGAGCGAGCGGCTCCGCGCACCACTTCCTGGGGACGTCTTCCAGTGATTATCCTTCGGAGGGATTTGCCTCCGCCGTGTCAATGTGGAATTTCTAGCACTTGTATTGCCGGAGCGTGAACGGGACGTGCGAACACCGGTGCCTCAATGCTCATTTGAGCGGGAACTCTGACTTTGGAATCTGCGTATTACAGTGAATAGCAACCATAATGTAAAGTCCCATGTCAGTTAATTTCTGGATTAGTGTCTTCCCACACCGTGTCAGTCATTTGGAGGGGGCGGGATTCTTTGGCCATACTTCACCAAGCTGGTCAATGTGGGCCGATGAAGGGGGATTCCCCGAACCTCTTTGGATATCACGCTCCACCGATATTAGCTGTTGCCTGGAATCGAGCTCAAGTCGACGGGTTCATAGTAAGGTTGTTAAAACATTGGTCTTGTGTCCATTACCAGTAACCACATTGCCTAAATTTTGGAAAACCCCGGCTCACGGTGCCACACGTACAGGAAACTCGAGACCAATGAACGTAACCTCTTAAACTGAAAAAAGAAGGGAGTTTCCACTGGTCGAATGGTCGCACACTGAACTCGCAATCCAGAGGTCACCGGTTCGTTTCCATCTCCTGGCTCGGCAGCCAAAACAATGGAATACAGCCACAGTCTGGGCAATTAGGACAACCCCACTACCATGCTTGCCTGTGCTGTGCAACATCCTCCCGCCAAACATTCGCCGCCAAGATGCTGGGCAAAGTACATGCGGCACCGGAGTTACCCCTTCGTGTCGACATTTTCAAGCCCCACCACCCATGCGCCTGAAGTCCCAACACCCAGTGTGTGCAATACAACAGTCCTAAGAGTGGACCCGGCCGGGTACGGGTAGGGTACTGGTATCGGGTACCTGATTGCGACCTCTGGGATGAAGCCATGTTGCAGGCGCGGGTGGGTTGATTCTAGGAACTTGAATTGTGAGAAGAGACAAGACGTTTGGAAATGAGTGACAAACAGTTACTCACCAGTGACTCACGGTCTACCCGTACCCGTACCCGGCCGCACCAGGGTCGCAAACGGCTACCCGTACCCGGCCGGGTACGGGTAGCCGGGTATCGGGTAGGGTATGGGTATCGGGTAACCGGTTGCGACCTCTGGAGTGGAGTGAAGAATTGAGAGCCGTGTAAGTGCCGAAAACTAGGACCTCGTAAGCGATCCATCCGTCCAGATGCCTGGCTTTGACCTTCCAAGGCGCCACTGGGTGCAGTTAAACTGCTTGCGGTGTGACCAGGGAGTGTGTTGCTGCTTCCGCACATCGATGGGGCATCCTATGTGACAGCCCCACTGTGTGAATGCGGGGAGCAGGAGACCACGGCGCACGTCGTCTTCGGCTGTGAAGTGTCTCAGGGCGGACTGGTTGCCCTGCAGGTGCTGGAGGAGGAGGCTGCAAAGTGGCCCTGTGGCTATGTGGGCTGAGGTCCACTCAAAGCACATTTATTAATATATATTGTAAATGTGTCTGGTGTTTTGACTTTGGGAAGTCGTGTGAAATAGAATTCGCTAAGTAGATAAACTGCCACCTCTTCAAAGACGTCTGGTCCACGTGGAGGATGAGACCTAATATCTTGAGCTTCCTGGAGTCGAGACTTCTAACGCCAGCAGTGTTGTGAGCATCAAGCAATTGCAGGGCTGCCCCTGCACCTTTTATAAAGATTTCCATCTTGCCGTTTGTCCATTCACATGTGCCAATCATTGAATGTTTTTGTTGAGAAACGGTTACAGGTTCTGCACTAAGACAACCGGTAATCGAGAACGGCGATTGGTTCGCTGGTTGGCGTAGTGTCGTAGCCGTACAGTGATCACTCTTAAAATAATCAGGCCTGCCTGTGACGACTTGCGCCACAGTGAATCTACTAATTATTGTCGATTTACATTTGTGCAATATATTTTATGTCTCGCGTGATGCGGTTGTTTTTAACGCCGATTTCTATTTGCTTCGTCGCTACGTTTAGTTTTATTTTATTATGTTCTGATTTTGTAGTTTCGGTGACCCAGGTCTCTCTTTGCAAACGAGACTCATCCCGGCCCCTTTTAAGTTCTCAACACGTTGAGTTCAATAGCAAAATCAACAAAAAAACAACACTATAAAGCATCGCAGCGCGCTACCCGTCGCGCCCCGCAGGATAAAAGTTTTAACGGTTGACGCTGCTGCTGCTGCCATCGCTGTTGCCGTCCCCGGCGCGGCTGCCGCCTGCTGCCAGCGTGTAACGCAGAGGGCGATCTCCCCTGCATCAAGTCGCTGGCGCTGGAGAACCTGGGGCTGACGCACTCGCTGAGCTGGCCGCTGTCGGACGAGGCGCTGGATCAGCTGGCGACCGTGCGCACGCTCCTTGTCAACTCGTGCTACCTGTTCCGGCGGAGAGACCTGCCCATCCGCGAAGTCACTGCTATCTTCCAGCGCCTACCCAATGTCGTGCACCTCGACCTGGGATGTGAGTGTGCGCGAGGTGCGCAATGTGTGTGTGTGCGCATACGAGCATGGTGATGTGAGCGTGTGTGTATGGGGGGAGCGGTGGTGTAGCGGTTAGCACACTGCGCTACGAACCCGGCGACCCAAGTTCGATTCCCTTTCGCGACCAATACCGGTGACGATTATCTGAACTGGCCCTGGACATCCATGGGGTCGACTCAGCTTTGAATGAATACCTGGTGCGGTGTGTAAATATTGCCACTGGGGAGACAAAGGGGGCCGGGTGTGGTGCTGGCCACCCAACCCCTCATGTGCCGTGCCAGCCTTCATGGGTGCTCACAAACAGCACTTGCCCCAACAAGCACTTGCCCCAACAGTCTGCTTAGGGAGAAATTTGTCTTCGTCTTTTGATGGTGCGTGTGAGGGTAGTTGCTGTGTGTGGGAGGGAAGTGGTGTTGATGTTTGTGGCTGTAGTATGGGTGTGTCGATTCAGCCTTCATAGAGTACCTGGTGCGGAGTGTAAACACTATCACTGGGGAGACAAAGGCAGCCAGGCATAGTGCTGGTCCACACGACGCCCCTGGTAGCACCGTGCCAGTCTTCATCGGTCCTTGCTAACAGCACTTACCACAACAGTCCGTGTAGGCTACACGGGCGATCTTTGTATTTGTACATGTGTGAGAGTTACGACGACCAGATCATCTCCATCCTGAGGTGAATTATTATTTGCCATCGTCCTAGCAGGCTCACTGAGTGGCCAGCAGATGGCCTGCGTGTACCGTATCACGTTCCCCTTGCATGTAGCGGTCTTACTGTACGTTCTGAAGGTGTGCTGTGTGTATGGGCTTGTGCTGTGTATGAGGCTGTACACATCGGACCAGGCTCCGTGTACCATACCTAGTATTGGCTAAATACCCGGGTATACACTCATGTCCTAGGGTACACATCTGTACAGGTACATGAATGGTACACAGTGTCGTTTGTGTACGATTCGTTGTCTGTGTGGTTTGGCATGTGTACCCATGTGCTGGCAGATGCCACATACTGTGCGTGTTCCGCATAGAGATGTGTGGATGCACTGCCAATGCCATACGAGTACTCTGTACTGTGTGAGTACTATGTTGGGACGCCGTGGTGGAGAGATGTTAACTCCCTCGCCTGGTATGAAGGAGCTCGTGGGTTCTATCCTGACCCTGATGCCTGCTGTATATTTGGAGTTTGCATGTCTCTCTCCCCGTGGTCGTGTGGATTTTTCTCTGGGTCTTCCGGCTTTTCCCTGCACATTTAGAAAAAAAATTTCGAGTATTTGCCTGCTATAAATTTCCACATGATAAGCCACTTCGTTGAGCTATCATTTGTGGCCAGGTCGCTTCTGAAAAAGAGCCATTTGGCTCAGTGGGCCTTACCTGGTTAAACAAAAATAAAAAAATTCCTCGTTATTCATGAACTTGCTATCTGCGATTTTGGCTATCCGCGAATCGCATCTGGAACACCACATGACTACTTCATCGAGAGAGAGAGTGATGAGGTAAAGGAATGATAGAAAATATGATACGAAAAAGTGATGAGATTTATTGTTTATGTATTTATTCATAGGCAAATATCATTATTCGCAAAATTTGCTATTCACGATCATTTCCGGAACGTATCCCTCGTGAATAACGAGGGAATACCGTAGTTTAAAAAAAATTATCTTGAGTACACGGTGACAGGGTGGAATAGAGGAGGGGAGATGGTACAGGGGTGAGAGGCGGTGGTGGGCGGGGGAGTGTGATGGAGGGTGATGAGAGAGTGAGGGAGCGGAGAGAGAAACGGGGAGAGAGAGCAGAGAGAATACAGAACAGAGCGATAACAAGAAAGGAAGGGATGAAAAAAAAGTTAGAGAATAGAGCAGAAGGACAAGAGATAGGGGGAGAGAATAGGGAGAATGTCAATGTAAAGAGGGGGAAGGGTGCGTTTAGTGTGGGAGAGAGAGGGGAGAGAGAGGAGAGAGATCGTACCGAGAGCTGTGATGGGGGAGAGACACGGAGTCTGTACAGGAGAGGGAAGATTGGAAAATGGGTCGATGTGAGAGATGTGGAAGATGAGGATTTAGGGCCGGGTAGAGCCGTATCTCCTCGTTAGAGATTCCCTCTATCCTCCCACCATCACTGCCCCTCACCCACACGACTCACCACCCACCACTCCTCACACCACTCCACCACCGCTCCTTACGCACACTGCTACACCACCGCTCCACCACCACTCTGCAACTGCTCCATCAACACCGCTCCATCACCACTCCACAACCGCTCTTCATGCACACTGTTCCACCACTGCTCCACCACCATTCCACCACCACCACTACTCCACCACCGCTCCATCACCCGTCACCTCTTCACACCAACAGTGCTCGCCGCCCACCACTGCTGACACCACACCATGAGTGAGCGTGAGCATAGCATGAGTGAGTTAGTGCTTGGTATGGGAGTGAGTTTGCATAGCGGTGTGTTGGTCCAGTTAATGTCATTCTGTATTGCATCAGTGTCGTGAGAGATGGCAGCGGCTTGGGGGAGGCCCTCCAGCAGTGGATAGATCACGGCTGATGGCGATAATGATGGGTGTACTACATCTGTTATTGCCGAGCATCTCCCCGCTTGACCCCAGTGTCTGCCCTCTATTTGGTTCCTGTCTCTCCATGGCTCTGGCGTCACAGTGTATCTCTTCCATCGAGTTGTAAAATGGCTTTGACAATTTCTCTCTATATTTGTTTTTTTAATTAAGGCCTTAAATGGTGCAAGCTTGAATGACCATCAGTTTCCAATTAATCAATGCCTTTTCACGGTCCGCTAGAGCCAGGCATTGTGCCGTTTTATATTCTTGTGCGTTCTCTAGAATCTGGTGTGCATGTCTTGTCGGCATTGTGCACTGTATTTATATGTTGTGTACGTCTGTATGTTTGTCTTGTGCACACGTACTTTGTGTTTGGATGATGGGGCGTGGTGACGCAGTGGTTAGCGCACTGGGAACCTGGTGACCCAAGTTTGATTCCCGCTTTCGGCCAACACCCTTGACGATTATATGAGCTGGTCCTGGGCCTCCCTCAGGTCGACTCTGCCTCAAATGAGTGCCTGGTTCAGTGTGTAAACATCAACACTGGGGAGATCAAAGTGGTTAATTGTGGTGTTGGCCACCTTGTGCGCCGTTCCGGCTTTCAGCATAACAAGAAATAAGAATACAATAACAGCTCGTCAGTACCAACCACAATGACAACAACAACAAAAACAACGACACGACAAAAACAACGACACAACATGCCCACCAAGCAGGATCAGCCGCGGCTGTTACCAGCTTCACCATCATCAAACTCAATCTCCTGCTTCCCCCACAGTCCACAACTCCCTCCCCACAGCCGTCTGGGCTGTCCACTCCCTGCCCCTGTGAAGGCTCAAGACCTTTTCTCTCCTCCTCTGTCCATGACTCACTGCCTCTGGCAAGAATATAATTAGGTGCACTGTCTGTACAGCATCATGGCATGCGGCCGTGCGTCTTTGTCCCCCGTGTTCCTCTAACCGCCTGTGCCCCTGTTTCCCAATGCCCCCCTGTTTCCTTCTCCCCGTTCCTGTGTTTCCTTCTCCCTGCCCTCCTCTCCTCCTCTTCTCGTGTTTCTGTCTCTGCCCCCCTGTTTCCCCTGTCCCTCCGTCCCTCTCCCCTGCTCCCCACCGCGCCCCCGTGTCGCTCTCTCCCCGCACGTAGCCACGAACTGCAAGAACGCGGTGCTGGAGCACGTGCCGGCGTCGCTCCAGTCGCTGGACCTGCGCGACTGCTACAGCATCTCAGGCGCCGGGCTGCAGTTCCTGTGGGAGCGCGCGGGCACCTCGCTGCGCCACCTCAACCTCTCGCTGTGCAACCGCGTGTCGCACCAGCCGCTCGCCGTGCTGCACAAGCTCTTCCCCAACCTCGAGAGCCTCGACCTCAGGTATCAACCTCCGCATCGTCATCGTCGTCATCGTCTTCGTCATGATCTTTATCATCGGCATCATCTTCTTGGTTCTTTCGGTAAAGTCACGTAGAAGGGAAGTAATAAAATAATAAAAATAAAACATAATAAATAATTCTCACGACGTTTCGGCCACAACGCAAGCAGCCATCCTCAGGTGAAGACCAGGTCGGCTGCTTGCGTTGTGGTCGAAACGTTCTACGTGACTTTACCGAAAGAACCAAGAAGATGAATCCCTGCAGTCACTAAATCTTTAAATCGAAAAATCGTCATCATCTTCGAAATGGTTACCGTCGTCTTGATCGCCATCGTCTCCAGAGTCGTCCGGAACACGTACAGACAGGTTGTGCGGTGGTACGGACACCTCGGTAGAAACCCACGTCACATTTACACGGGTGTTGATGTCCCGGCACGGCAGGGAGTGCAGGGGGGTGAGGGGCGTTGAGGGGGCAGCAGGGTGGGGGTGGTGGAAGAGGCAGGAGGAGGAGGAAGGGGTTGAAAAAAGGGAGAGCGCATTTCTCAGCAGCGTGGAGGTTAAGACAGCCTGACATTTCACTCACAGCGACAACGTCACGAAGGGTCACGGTGGGCCGGCGTGGGGCAGGGTGGGGTGGGACACCACGGAACTGTGGGGGAGATAAAAGCAGGATGGGTGGGGGGGATATTGGAGAGATTTGGGCAGAAGAGGGAGGGATAGTCATGTGATGGGGTGGGGGGCCATTGGTGGCATTGGGATAGAAGGGGAAGACATTGGGGGGAGCGGGGCTGTGAGGGAGACAAAGTTGAGATGGGGGGAGAGATTTTTTGTTGGGTAATTGGGGGGGGGGAGCTACTGGGGAGATGCGGGGAGGGATACGAGAGGGATGCCGCGGCCCGTGTTCGTCATCGGGGAGAAGGGGGAGAGATGTGGGGGGCTTGTGGGGATGGTATGAGAAGGGCAGGCAGGGGGGGGGGCAGGGTGGGGTGAGGGGTGAGGGTGTCAACTGAATAGACGTTAAAGAAGGGGCGTGGTGAAGCAGGAGGACTGGGGTCCCACGTAGGAAAGGGGGGACAGAATAAAGAGTGGCGGTGGGGGGGGCTGAGATGGAGAAGGAATAGGAGGGAGGAGGAGCTTAAGAGAGGCGGAGGAGGAGAGGGAGGAGGAGGAGGAGTGGGCCCTGTGGGGGGTGTTGCGCCGTGTTTCATCGCGGGGCTGAGCGGCCGTCCTTGGTTGCCGTGGCGACGGCCGCACCTCATGATTGAACAGATGTTGGGTCTAGGCTGAATTATGAATCACGTTGCCCACACTTTCCCCCCTCTCTCCCTCCCACTATCCCGAACTCTCCCCATCTCCTCTCCCCGCTGCCAGTGACGAATTGCTTGCACGCACGGTACACGTGCCGTACACGCACTGCACACGCGCCGTACACGCGCAGAGATGGGTGACTCCACCACACCCATGCACACGCACGCAGGGAGAGCAAGCAAGAGGGAGAGATTAAGTGAGAGAGTGAGGGTGCAGGAACGAGTGAGTAATGAATTGAGAGGGCGAGCGAGTAAAAGAACGAGCGAGAGCGTGAGAGAGCTGGTGAGTAACAGAGACTGAGTGAGAAAGTGAGCGAATGAATGACAGCATTCGAATGAGCAAGTAAATGACAGGATGGGAGACCATGAGAGGGTAAAGAGAGAGCGAGCGAGAGGGCAAAAGAGAGAGAGAGAGCGAGAGGGTAAAAGAGCGAGCGAGAGCAAAAGAGCGAGTGAGAGAGAGAGCGAGTGAGAGCAAAAGAGCGAGTGAGAGAGAGAGCGAGTGAGCGATCTTGACCCGTGTGGCCCCGGCTGTCGAGGGAGCCATTCTGAGTGGCCGGGCGCAGCGATCCCTCTCAATTAGACGCGGCTTGTAGCTGCTAATGCGGATGAATGAATGTCACCTGCGTGGGCCGTGGGGGGGTGGTGAGGGATGTTTGTGTGCGCGCGCGCGTGTGTCGGTGTAGGGAGCGGTAGTGTAGCAGTTTGCGCGCTACATTACGAACTAGGCGACCCGAGTTCGATTCCCGCTCACGGCCAAAACCAGTGACGATTATCTGAACCGGTCCTGGGCTTCCCCTAGGCCAGGGGTGGGGAACGTCCGGCCCGCGGGCCGTATAAGGCCCGCAAAATCATTTGGTCTGGCCCTGCCAAGGCAACCGCAGGCGGGTCTCGAAATTCAATAAATCTAGGAGCAAACCTGGAAAAGCAGTTGTGAGTAGCAGCAACATCATCGATACCAGCTAACATCACACGCCTCACCAAAGAGAAGCAGTTCCAGCCATCGCATTAGGGGTGAGTTAATTAAATGTTTGACCAAATATAACGGGCTAATTTTTAAGTTGATAATTTTGTAATGGCACGCGAATGATGTTATAAATATCCAAACGGCCCTTGGCAGAAACAAGGTTCCCCGCCCCTGCCCTCGGCAAGGCGGTGGCAGGGCGTGGTGCTGGCCACTCGCCCCCTCGTGTGCCATTCCAGCCTTCATAGGTGCTCGCTAATGGCACTTGCCCCTACAGTCTGTTAAGGTTTAATGGGGGGATCTTTGTTGTGTGTCGGTGAGGAGAGAGTCGTGTGGTGGTTTCCACACCGCACTACCAGCCAAGCAACCTAAGTTTGATTCTCGTTCATAGCCAACATCAGTGACGAATACCTGTGTGTGTGTGTATGTTCATGTACTCCTATGTGTACCATGTTTGTGTATGTAAATAGCCATGCTATCCTGTGCATGTGTGTGTACCTATCCTTTGTACATGCCTTTGCTAACCTGTGTATGTATACGTACCCATGTACGTGTGTGTATAACCATGCTAACCTGTATCTATGCTATAACCCCCTTGTACATGAGTGTGTGTTTACCCGTATGGGTAGGCATGTTCGATTCTTGTGGGGAGCGGTAGTTTAGCGGTTAGCGCGTTGCGCTGTGAGCCCGGCGACCCGGGTTCGATTCCCGCTCACGGCCAACACCAGTGACAATTATCTGAACCGGTCCTGAGCCTCCCCTAGGTCGACTCAGCCTCAAATAAGCACCTGGTGTGGTGTGTAAACATCGCCACTGGGGAGAAAAAGACGGTCGGGCGTGGTGCTGGCCACCGACCCCCTCGTGTACCGTTCCAGCCTTCATAGGTGCTCGCTAACAGCACTTGCTCCTACAGTCTGTTAAGGCTGTACGGGGGATGTTTGTATTTGTGCGCTACGAACCCAGTTGCGTTCCCGCTCGCGATCAAAACCAGTGATGATGATCTAAACCGGTCCTGGGCCTCTTCTAGATCGACTCGACCTCACATGAGTACCTGGTGCGATGTATAAATATCTCCACTGGGGAGGCAAAGGCGGCCGGGCGTGGTGGTACCGACCGCCCACTCCCTCGTGTGCCGTGGCGGCCTTAATAGCCGCTCGTTAACGGCACTCTCCCCAACAGTCTGTTAAGGCTACACGTGGGGGGATCCTTGTGTGTTTGCGTCAGCTCGTGTAGGGGCGTGACAGAGGGCGTGCTCAGCTCGCTGGCGTGCATGCCCCGACTGCGCATGCTGTGCCTGCGCGCGGTGCCCGACCTCCCCGACGACGCCCTGCGCCGCTTCCGCACGCTCACGCACAACCGCGTGCTCCTCACCCTGCCCCGCGAGAAGGAGTGCAACCACCAGATGTACGGCCTGCGGGGTCGCGACCGGTCAGTTTGCCAGCCACAAGCGCGCCGCACAAGCATCGCCACACTGCACCGCGAAAAGCGCCACCCTGCGCCGCCATCGCGCCCAATGCCACCGCACACGAGGGACCGTCGCCACGCCACCTTGGGTCGCAGGAGCGTAAAATCGAAGACGAGCCGAGTCAAGTTTATTGGTTATTGCGTGTATGCGTGTACCTTGCACTTCTTTCACACCGTACGTACGGAGGTGCAGGGGAAGGGTAACTAACTAAACACAAAAAGCAGTTGTAAAAAAAAATTGTTTTCAGTCTATATTTGAAAGTGCATAGCTCCGGGTCACTTCTTAATATTGGAAGGAATGGTGTTCAAGATGGTCGCAGAAGCGCATCTGAAAGCACGCGATACGGTGATCGTGTTTGTTCGATAGCTAGCCAAAAGCCGCTGCAAGAACGACTGGCGTTCGCTTGATGGTTTATGCTTCTTGACGAGATCGGCAAGGTATTGTGGTTCATTTGTGGCGGGAATTTTCTGTGTAATGAATATGACCTTATAATCTATTTGTTCAGAAACCGGAAGCCAATGCAGCTCAGTGAGCACCGGCCGGATACGTTTGGATCTTGCAGTACCCGTCACGACACGTGCCAAACAATGCTGTACACACTGCAGCTTACTATATTTTTGCCAGACGTCCCGTAGAGGAGTGAGTTGCAATAATCGAGCCTTGCCGATACAATGCTACACACCACCGTGTGGTCGAATGTGTCATCGAGCCCTGATATGAAAATTGCAGGATCTAACAATATTTTGCACGAGGTGATCAAATGACATGTTCTGGTCGAGTATGGTGCCGAGGCTGCGACCACCACACCTTATCCTCCCACAATTTATTCCGCCTGAGTGCCAACCAGCAGAACCTCTTGAATTTTCTGGCTTAAGTAGCATTTAGTTTTGTGCAAACCGCACACGTGCACTGCTCGCGTGCAATCTTCGAGGTTACCAAGGATCTCCATATCTAACTTTGACTTAACTGCAATGTACAATTGTGGGTTCCTTCCCTGGTGCCGATGTACAATAGCGTATCCGTTAGGTGCAGCCTCGTGCTGAATTATGTCCGGTCAGTCGTCATTTACCCAGGTATTGATAACGGGCCAATATGTCGAATCCACAATCGTTGATCAGATCCTGGATGAGCGCCGTCTTGTAGACTATGGAACGTGCGTTGACCAATTCAAAGTTTTCACAGGCGAGAACGAGAGGGACCCAGGATAAGTCTCATGTGCAAGAGTGACCTAGGTATGAGATAAAGTCCGTAGGTTGTAGGATTGAGATTGCAGGATCCAGGCAGAGATGACCAGGCCGCAGGCTTTTCCCAGACTCCAGCTCAGGATCGGATTCACAACGTTCCGGGATTTCTTGGTGCGCAGGCTGAGCTCGCCTCTTGCCAGGCGCCTGCACGCACTGACGAGGTGAAGCCTTTCAAGTATCCCCAGCTATCCCAGAGGTAGCCCTGGCAGTGTGTTTGAATGTGGTCACGCCCGAGGTAAAGATTGTGTGTATGGGGGGGATCTTTGTTCTTGTCATGGTAATCGTGATGCATCCCCCCCCCCCTCTCTCTGTGTCTGCCCCCCACACCCCCAACAGTTACACTCTCGCCTGCCCGTGAGTCCCCATGCGTTCACGCAGGGATCTCCGGGGGGGTCTCGGAGGCTTTCGAGGTCCCCGCGGGGGGCGCAGGGAAGGTGAGGTTGACTGACGTCGGAGAGATGGAGCCCCCATGAAGAATTCTGGGGTCCCCCCGCACCTCCGCTCCTCCTCCCTTCCCCCCAATTCGACCCCCTCCCCCCCCACTCCCCCCCCCCCTCGGCGAGGGGGCGGCCCCCACTTCTCTTGCTCCCTGTGGGAGACGCGATGGCACTGCCGCTCCCGCTTGAACTTACGTGGGGGGACGGAGGGGCCCCCCCAATCCGTGAGCGTGGGCCGGCATGAGGAAGGACGAGCAAGACAGCCGGGATGGCACGCGACATGGTGACCCAGCTGGGCCGGCCAGCCAGGTGACCCGGTGACCTGCTGACCCGATGACCTGCTGACCCAGCTACACGTGGTCAAGGCAGGCGGAGGCGAGGATGCGGCCGAACTTTTTGAGTTTTACAGTTTCAGTTGCGAGGGGTGGAATTTCCGCGAGGTTCCGTGTGCGCCCATGTGGAGGAGGGGCGCACTTCTGTGGGCGGGTGCGGAGGGGTAGCGGCTGCTCTCCCTGTGCCCCCCTCCCTTCCCACTCCACCAGGACCCCCCCCCACTTCCCACACTCACTGAGCCCCCTCCCTCGTTCCCCAAACAAGAAGCCACTTACTCCAGTCTGGGCAACAGTTAACGGCTTGCTCATTGGGGCAAATCGCAATGATTGTGCGAGCGGCAACAGCAATAGCAGCAGCAACGGCAATTAATTATTGAGGTGGATTGAGGTGGATTGGGATGGTGTGTGTGTGTGTGTCAGCCTGGCTCGTATGGTAATCTGTGCTTGTGTGTAGCGTGTGCGTGGTTGTGTTTGTGTGAATGTGTGTGGCCGCGTGTGGTCGTGTGTATTTGTGAACAATCGTACCTGGTTGTACGTGTGCGTGTGGCCATGGCGTGTGTGAGTGGGTGTGTGTGTGTGTGTTGCTACGTATGTGGTTGTGTGGTCCTCCCTGTTTACCCCAAGAGTGCTGGAATTAACTTACTGAGCCATTTGCTTCTCGGTAACAAAACAAATTAAGCAACACAGTGGGGTGGGCGTGGTAGAGAGAGGGGGAGAGATATGCAGGGAAAAGTTATTGTTAGGAGAGGAGACGGGCAAGAATTAGAACGGAGTGTTGGGTGAGGGGCCCATGACCTCCACAACCCCGCTGGTCCCCAGGCAGGGGAGGGGTGGGGTGGGGGGGTGGGGGCTCCTGTCACTCAGAACCAGTTGAGGCTCGCGCGGAGAGCCACGCCGAGTCACAGAGTTTGCCGCTTTCGCTTGTTGGCAGTCAGCGGGACAACAGCAATGATAGGTAATGGCAATATAGGTAATTGATGACTTATGAAATCGGGTGAGATCCCATCGAGACGTGGACATCAAATACAGGGTGGGCTGGTGGAGGATGCCGGTGTGAACATCGTGACAGGAGCGGGGGGGGGGGATCCACACGTGTACCGACTCGGTGGAGACCTGTGGCCCGCGCGGTGGCGTTGTATAGGTGTAGCGATTCAGCCACGCGACACGTCCCCCGGATCTCGATCACAATCCCTGAAGCGGTCGCTCTTCTTGTCAGTGCCGTCATTTGTCCCGTCGCATCTGGACGGGCGCGCCATGTCCCCGTGTCTCGCTCATTTCCACCGTTTGTCTCGTCCGTAGTGACCGCTGTCCCGTGTAATGTTTAGTCTGGACTGTTTGTTTACTCTGGACTGTTTGTTTACTGTTTCTGGACTGTCGGTCATTTCTGTACGGCATCTCCCCATTTCTACCGTTTGTCGCGTTTTCTTTTTTGTCTCATTTGTTCCATCTCGTTGGTTGTGATTATCATTCTGAAGGGAAAATCCTGAGTGTTAATTCGCACACAGTCATAAAATAATGTATCTTTATTTGGCATCGATCAGCACCCCCACGCCGGTCTATGTAACACCACCCTCAGCATCCTCCCCGACTTAACTAAAATTCCTCTCTGCAGCGAAGAGGCCACCGAATGGCTCTGGCTCGGCTCTGGCTCGGCTCTGGCTCAGCTCTGGCTCGGTCTCCAACCCCGTGGCTCAGCTCGGGCTTTGAGCCAGCCGCGTGGTTTCCTTTGAAGGGTACGCGACGAGCATGCGGCTCTGTTGTGGCCTCAGCGCAGGCTCCGCACGCAAAATCCCGAGCACTGCTGGGGACTGTGCTCAGAGCTGGCTCGAGTTAAGTGGAGGATGATGACTTTCAGCCCGCTCACTTGAGCCAGAGCCAAGCCTGAGCCACGAGTTATGAACGTGGGCCTAAATTTTTTTTGTTATTTCAAGCGCCGAGTCACCTGGAAAACCAGTCGTCGTCGCTTCTCAGCACAAACTGTTAGCGGCAGAAGTAGCAGAACGTCACTGTAGTAATTTCTTTAATCTATTCGTTTAAGTTTTATTTTACGTTTTTTACAGCGGAGCCATCATCTCTCTTGCTGGGTGATGGCGGGGCGGGGGGGGGGAGTCGTTTATACGCAGGATTTATTCCCGGGTTTTTGCACTTTTTTATTTTGTAATTTCGCCCAAATTTGTGGTTCAATTTCCGACTGGGGTGAATCTCTGTCAGTAGCGTTTTTTTGTTCTCCCCTCATTCTTCACAGGGTTTCCTCTCAAATTACCCACCAAAAACGAATACACAAACACAAACCTTACAACGCCAAGTTTTTAAAAACTTGCCCTCAAATTACTCACCTTACTCGGCTCCCCCCCCCCCCCCCCTACTGGCAGACTAACGGGCATCGCCGAGCCAGCCGCTGACGTCACCGTATGCCGCACAGGGACAGCTGCCAATGGGGGGGGGGGGGGGGGGCCCTGCGCTCCGAGACACTTTTGTTGCGTGTTCGTGGACGATGCGTGTTGCTTCGTATGTCGCGAGCAGTGTTCCGCGGTGAATCGCTACATGCCTATTGCAGAGAGTCAGATGACGATGGTGGTGTGGTGATTATGGTGGGGAGGCGGGGGGGGGGGGGTGCTCGGTTCTGAGATGGCTCTGGACTGCCCTGCCGCTTGTAAATATGATTTATTTATGATGACAATGTTGAGGGCTGGTGCCATGGAACGTCTGTCCGCTGGTGCCAGCATTGGACCCCACGCGCCTGTTCACTCTGGGATGTCGCATGCGCGTGCATTTCTCAATAAAAACAACGCTTACTGATTTGTTTACATCCTGTACGCGTCACCGGTGATTGCACGCGCACACGGAACGCACGGACCCCGTGCTGATCAGGCTGCGTAAACAGAGCGGCTGCCCTGGGTTTTCTTGGAAACCGATGACAGCGTGGTGATGGGACTTTGTTTTCCAGAACACGGTGCTTTCCGGCTGATGAGTTCTCACACACAGAGACCCACGGACTCTTAACCGACACCGTGGGCTCGCACAGACCCACGGACTCACGCCGAGACCCACGGACTCGCACACGTCCGTAGCAGACGCGGGAGAATAGACTACCGTACAAGGGGCTTTGCAGCCCTGCCTTCTGCTGCACGCAACATAGCCGCTCAGCAACCTATAGCACCTGATTTGTTAATGGTGATCGCTCATCCAGTCTCATCTCTTGCTTAGCTTGCTAGACGGGTGCATTCCGGGTGAATTGGTCGTGTGCGGCAGTGGAGTCATTGGTAAGTGGAACAATTCCCGAAGCCCAATTACAATCCACCTCCTCCCCCGTGTGGGGGGAGGGGGGGGGGGCCCCAACCCCCCAACCCCCCTCCTTCCTCCCCCAGCCTCCAGAGCACATTCAGGACCTGGGACAGCGCCCATTACTCACCGGGTCACGGGCGTCTCTCCTCGCAAATTTACGATTATCAGCAACCGTTCTCGATCCTCTCTGCTGGATGTAAAAGTACCGATGCCACAGTCGTCATGTGCCACGTTCTGTCCGCTGCTGGGTGGAGGTGTTCCCCCACGCCGTCCTCGCGGTCCTGCGACGGCGCAACGCATCTCTCATTCCTGCACGCGAACTGATCACGGCAGTCGTGCTCTTGGGCGCTTTCTCTCCTTTGTCGTTCTGCCCGGAGTCTCCATCGGCCATCATCCCTCCGAGTGATTTGTTCTGTCTGCCCCATGCTCGTTACCACGGGGAGATGTAGATCCGGGGAACAAACGCGCATCTCGGTCTAACGACCTTGAGACAGTCTCGTTTTATCTGCACTGATTAACCACCGCACTGGAGGTCACAACACTCGCCGATTCGGCCACCCGACTCATTCAGCCATCCACCCACTCACCAACTCACCCACCCATTCAGCCATCCACCCACTCACCAACTCACCCACTCATTCAGCCGTCCACCTACTCACCAACTCACCCACTCATTCAGCCATCCACCCACTCATCAACTCACCCACTCATTCAGCCATCCACCCACTCACTAACTCACCCACTCATTCAGCCATCCACCCACTCGCCAACTCACTCACCCACTCATTCAGCCATCCACCCACTCACCAACTCACTCATTCAGCCATCCACCCACTCACCAACTCACCCACTCATTCAGCCATCCACCCACTCACCAACTCACCCACTCATTCAGCCATCCACCCACTCACCAACTCACCCACTCATTCAGCCACCCACTCACCAACTCATTCAGCCATTCACCCACTCACCAATTCACTCACCCACTCATTCAGCCATCCACCCACTCACCAATTCACTCACCCACTCATTCAGCCATCCACCCACTCGCCAATTCACTCACCCACTCATTCAGCCATCCACTCACTCACCCACTCATTCACCCATCCACCCACTCACCAACTCACCCACTCATTCAGCCATCCACCCACTCGCAAACTCACCCACTCATTCAGCCATCCACCCACTCACCAATTCACTCACCCACTCATTCAGCCATCCACCCACTCACCAACTCACCCTCTCATTCAGCCATCCACCCACTCGCCAACTCGCTCACCCACTCATTCAGCCATCCACCCACTCACCAACTCACCCACCCATTCAGCCATCCACCCACTCACCAACTCACCCACCCATTCAGCCGTCCACCTACTCACCAACTCACCCACTCATTCAGCCATCCACCCACTCATCAACTCACCCACTCATTCAGCCATCCACCCACTCACTAACTCACCCACTCATTCAGCCATCCACCCACTCGCCAACTCACTCACCCACTCATTCAGCCATCCACCCACTCACCAACTCACTCATTCAGCCATCCACCCACTCACCAACTCACCCACTCATTCAGCCATCCACCCACTCACCAACTCACCCACTCATTTAGCCATCCACCCACTCACCAACTCACCCACTCATTCAGCCACCCACTCACCAACTCATTCAGCCATTCACCCACTCACCAATTCACTCACCCACTCATTCAGCCATCCACCCACTCACCAATTCACTCACCCACTCATTCAGCCATCCACCCACTCGCCAATTCACTCACCCACTCATTCAGCCATCCACTCACTCACCCACTCATTCACCCATCCACCCACTCACCAACTCACCCACTCATTCAGCCATCCACCCACTCGCAAACTCACCCACTCATTCAGCCATCCACCCACTCACCAATTCACTCACCCACTCATTCAGCCATCCACCCACTCACCAACTCACCCTCTCATTCAGCCATCCACCCACTCGCCAACTCGCTCACCCACTCATTCAGCCATCCACCCACTCACCAACTCACCCACCCATTCAGCCATCCACCCACTCACCAACTCACCCACCCATTCAGCCATCCACCCACTCACCAACTCACCCACCCATTCAGCCATCCACCCACTCACCAACTCACCCACCCATTCAGCCATCCACCCACTCACCAACTCACCCACCCATTCAGCCATCCACCCACTCACCAACTCACTCATTCAGCCATCCACCCACTCACCAACTCACCCACTCATTCAGCCATCCACCAACTCACTCGCCGCACTGCGAGTCACTACACACTCCCCCACCCGGTCACCACCTCGCTTTCGCTTTCCGCTGCAACCTGCTTTGGAATTCTCTCCCATCGTCTCTTTTCCCAATTAATTACCTTCCACAATTCGATGAACGTATTAATTATAATCGATCGCAACTTAAATTGTGCCGTTTATTGCTGGCCGCTTGTTTTGGACCAGTGCACAGCGATCGTGAATTGAAGACGAAAAAAGGGAGACACGGTGTTGACCTCGGAAAACATCACTTTTATCAACGGTGATTATACCGCCCCCCTCCCCCCGCGCCCGTGTGCGCCAGTAGCCGCGTAAAGGCTCGTCAATATCGTTCTCGCGGTCCCCGAGAGGGGTCCGTGTACCCCCGTTCTGGGGACCCCTTGCGACAGTAGTGATCGTGACTTCCTAACGGGGGCTCTGGCTCCCCCGCGCGAGGAACCTCCCCCCGCCAACCAAAACCGCCACGCCGAAGAGGCGACGGCGCTCTCCCACGGGTTGCGCTGTGTCGGCTCCCCTCTGCTACAGGAATTGACCCCCCCCCCCCCTCGTAGAGTGAGTGGCGACTTGGGGTAAATAAACGAGCTCGCGGGGCGCTGGGGTCCCCCCCCCCCACTCTCCCCCCCCCCCCCCACCACCACCGTGGGGGGTTCTAATTACCGACCCCGTCACCTGCCATCTCGTGAGGCCCGAAATACCACGAGCCGCAATCACCTACACTCGGGTAACGTCCCAAATAAATCATCGCCTCCCATCACCACCGCCCCCCACCCCACCACCTACCTACCTCTGCACAGCGCCGTTCAGCCAACAACAAGACGGGCAAGATGAGCCCACATCAAGCGCCTCGCTCCCAAAAATACCGAGACCCCCGTCACCTCCCGTGACGTCACCCCCGAAATAATAATAATAATCATCATCATCCCATCACAGGCATCGCCTGCATGCAATCACAATTCCATCATCTCGCTGTGCATCGCCCTCCCTCTACGTGACGCAGTGGCATCACCTCATCCTCCTCCTCCTCCAGTCGAGGGCTTTCTGGAGCAGCAGTTCCCAATATTTTCGAGTGCGCGGACCCCTTTTCAGCCTCCAAACATTTCGCGGATCACCACGCGCTGCTGGCCGTTTGAATTGCACATCTCGTTGGCGAGGATGTTGTTGTCGTTGTTGTTGTTGTTTGCCCTTTTCCTGCAGTAGCCTCGCGGAACGCCGGGCATCGGCGGACCGCAGGCTGGTAGCCGCTGCTGTAGCCCGGCGTTCTTCACTAATTTTCAGAGGTGGCCCACCAGCTTCGCTGATAAGACATCGTCAGTGTGAGGGCCGCCACACCATTTGAAACCATTGGGGGGGGTTTGACAGCAGCACGATGATGATGATGGGGAGTGCTGTCACTCTGTGTGTCTTGTCGGGGGGGCCGCACTCAAGGCCACCAGGGGCCGCTAGTAGCCCACGGGCCTTGCACTGAAGAACAATGCCTTAGAGGGCATTTGGTCCCGGCGTACACGTCGATCACACACCTTGAACGAGGTGGTCGTACCCACACTTTGCGCACACCGCACTAACCGTGCTGAACCCGTTCACGCTGCTGGGCCGGAAGATCGACTCGACTGCGACTTCTGGGACTGCAATTCCAGTGCCGCTGATCGTCGTTGCACCACGAAGGCAGGTTACAATTATCGCCACGTGTGCGGCAAATCGGTAACCTTTTTTTTTATCATGCGGTTACCGGTAATGCAGAGGTCGCAAACGGGTTTTGATTCCTTACCCGTACCCGGCCGCTCCAGGGTCGCAAATGGGTACCCGTACCCGTACCCGGCCGGGTACGGGTACCCGTTCCCTACACGTACCCTACCCGAAATGAGTGACAAACGGTTACTCACCAGTGACTCACGGCCTACCCGTACCCGTACCCGGCCGCACCAGGGTCGCAAACGGGTACCCGTACCCGGCCGGGTACGGGTAGCCGGGTATCGGGTAGGGTACGGGTATCAGGTACCCGGTTGCGACCTCTGCTCTTTCGGCGCTTGCCCCCTCCAGCCTGTGTGGGCTACCCGGGGGAAGTTAGCGAGGAGGCTGAGGTGTGCGTGGGGGCTGGGTGTGAGTAGGGGCTGGGTGTGAGTCGGGGCTGGGTGTGAGTAGGGGCTGGGTGTGAGTAGGGGCTGGGTGTGAGTAGGGGCTGGGTGTGAGTCGGGGCTGGGTGTGAGTCGGGGCTGGGTGTGAGTAGGGGCTGGGTG